ATTATTATTATTATTATTATTATTATTATTATTATTATTATTATTATTATTATATTTATTATTATATATAATTTATTATTATTATTAATAAAGTTAGGTAAATGAATCATGCAGTTATAAAAATGTAACTTCATTATCTGTGCAAGTCTTTTCAAGTTCAGTGGGAAATATAGTTATTCAAATTATTGTTCTCAATGATTTTGCAGCAGGAAGTCCTTCATGAAGGAAATGATGAGAGACTAGATTCCAAATCTATAGTTGATTTCTCCTTGAAAATAGATTTTATTAGATATCAGAGCAAATATATTTTTTAACAATTCTTGCCAAAAACACTCATTTCTTTCTTTATTCAGAATTCAACTCATAATTGGCTTACGGTGAAGATCACATAATTAAGAAAACGTGCACAGTATACACTTTTCCCCTTAGCACATCACACAGTTTCTAACTGTTTTTGTCGTAAAATAAATAAATAAATCAACAACAAATTCTTGTGATTTCAAAAAACCTGTCATTTCAAATAAAACCTTTTGTCTTTCTGTTTTTAATTTTATCTTTTCTGAATTATAGAATATGTTCCTTGCAATAATAAGTGACACATACTCAGAAGTGAAGGCAGAAACTGAAAGAAAAGATGTATATCACATGGGAAGGTTTTGTTGTCGTGGTTGTCGCAATATTTTGGTGAAATTAAAAATATTGAAAGCAAAAGACGAATTTGATGATTTGTTACTCACTGGTCGGAAAATTCGAAATATGCTTATTAAGTATGTTTTGCTTTTCCATGACTTGCTTTGTATTACATTCATTTTGGAATCATTACTTATTTAATAATTTATTTTCAATGATAAATATAGATCTGATTTCACTCCCGAAGAAGCAGACAGATTTCTTGAGGTCTACGGTATCGAGGATGAAGATGCAATAATAGATCGTGATGAAGCCAGAAGATTATTAGAAGATATGGAAGGAAAAACAAATGAGGAAATCAGTAAGTACAATTTTTATCTACTAGTTTGGCCATAGATTTATAATGCTAATTTCCAACAGTACTGAAATAGTTATTAAGCTTCTGCACGAGTTTCGCATACTAATTTGAGTTTTTATAAACATTGGTGCTAGCCTTTCCGATCACAAATTTACCATAAAGTTTCTCTGCCCCCCAAAAAAACTGTGGTGACATCTTTCTGTGAAAATTTTTGGGATCACAAATATTTCCCATTCCCCATAGCTATGGAAATGCAGAGAATATTTTTAGAAGCAACAGAACTACGGAAAAAAATATAGTTTTCTTGTTTACAGATAACTTTAATTGTAAGCACTTTTCATTCAAACATTTTTTAGGAGATCTCTCAGTTTGAACTAGACAAAAAACTATACCTTACAATGTACTAAACTCATTAAATTAGTGGTGCCACAACAGCATGTATTAACATTAGTCATCATTTGATATACTCCAACCCAAACAGAACTCCAAAAGTGCTTAGAAATAAAAAAAATCTTTATTGTGTGAAATTTCGAAAGTGTAAGTGAAACTAATAGGTCTGATAATGACTTGCAAATGAAAGTGACAGTGACTTGAATTGACCCAGGTGTCACAAGAAAGTTGTTTTATAAAATTAGGTTTGGTTCTCTTATAAATTCATAATGCTGTTATACCAAAAAATAGCATATTCAACTGGTTTATAAAGTTGCTTTATAGCATTCATACAAATTTGAAAACTCTCTTACAATGTCACTCTTTTTCAAAACATGTACACATACAATAAAGCTTAACATTATAAACTAATTGCATAAATTATTATTTCAAATTTTTTATTCGATTATTAAAGTGAATCTCATGTCAAATCAATAATTGTTGACTGTCTGTTTGTCAGTATGAACCAATTTATCCCCCAAAACTACTGAATCTATCAACATGAAATTTAAACACATTATAGATACTACCTTTCAGACTAACTTCATTTTTGTTTTAGTGTGATTTCTCTAACGATTTCGAAGACTTTTTTTAATACCTGTTTTTAAATACGCATATGTTTGTATGTGCCACAAACACTGTAGAACCATGAATTGAATGCTCCCGACATTGTCAGAAGGACGTTGAGACGCGAAGAATGAAACATCGCTTGATTGCTATTCAAAACGGTTATCTCAAAATGTTTATTAATGTCCAGTTGAGTGCAACCCTCAGTCCATCTGGGCTTCATGTGACGAGCGGCACCGGGCAGAGCTGCGGAAAGGAAGGGAAGGAGCAGACAGAGAGGAACGGGCCCAGCTGAATAACGGCGGACAGAGGCTGCGTGGGAGGAATGGGCGTGGGAGACAGAGAGTGGATGGGATGGGATGGGATGGGT